CTTTCACAGATAGCGATATGAGCCCCGCCTATGGTGAGCACTTTTCCCTGAGGTGCATTCCATGACAGCCAGATAGACGGGGGAACAGGCGGAGACATACAACCATTCCGCCTTCCTCATTAGTTCGCTCTCTCATTGTTGCATTAGTAAAAGTAGGGCAATGAGGATAGCATAATGGTTTCGAGTCTCTGCCTACCTCGCTATGGCAAAATGCGTTTTTGGGTGCTTTCAGTGGAAAAAAGAGAAAGACAAGACAACCAGCAGGCAACTTATTCTTGAGCCCAAAACTCAGTAATTTTTAGGGAATTCTTGAGAATGGGCAAGCTGGGTAAGAGCCCGGGCGGCCGAACACAATAAGTACGTCCTTCTGCTGAGGACTGTGCTACAAAATAGACCCCTCGGATTTCCACATCTATTCTCACTAACCATCTTCCTGAAATCTTTAACTCCCTATCACTAAACTAGGGGATATCGTCTTCTACAAAAGTCTCCAGTTTTCGCCAAAAAATACCGTCGAGCTGCGGGGAGAGGCATACACAGAACGGGAAAACGCTGAGAAAAACAATGAAATTCTTCAAAAACAGACACGACCCCCGTCCCTCTTTTCAGCGACCGAATAGGGTCGACCCTCTCGGTTGGAGATCCTCATAGTAAGACGTGTCAATAGGAGTCGAGTAAGGTACTAGATACCTACGAGAGGAACATTACTTACCTTAGTACCATCAAGTTCTGCACCATCTCTTTGCCAAGATAATGGTCTATCCGGTAAAGTTGATCCTGAAACAGGTAGTATTGCCCATAATATCTGGAAAATGCTACCCGTGCTATTGTTAGCGCAACTATGGCGCCGAGCTTGGACTAGGCGTGAAATAAGCCTCAAACGCACCTCATGGAACATTTTGGACAGATGACTAGAAAGCTTAGCTGACGACTCTAAATCATGTCCAAATGGCTTCTCTATGATAACTCTCGTCCAGGAGTCCCTGAAAGCACCACCCTTCAAGCTTCCTGGACATAATGTAGACATAAAGCCGGATAAAAATCGGCAGAAATGAGAAATAACATCCTGTCCCGCTTCAGCGCTATGCTGGAGTGATAGGAATAAAAGGGGCGCACCCATGAT